AAATTCCAGATCACAGTCCTCAATTTGGGAAAATCCAAGACTCACTGTTTCTACTTCATGGAATATGTTCTCACCTGGGACATAGTAGATGAATCGGCACCATTTGAATCTGGAGTCCTAAACATGGCTTCTCCAGAAACATGAACAAACTTCCATATTATATGTAAAAACCTTCTTTTTTTTTTTTATTTCTCCTTACACTCTGCTCACTGTGTAGATATATGATATAATATTCTCTGTGTAGAACATGTGTATATATGTATATATAGTTTTGTGTATGTCTTAGTGGTATAAATGTCTCTCTGAGAACAAAGCATGTTCGTTGTTCCTTTTACTTTCAGCAATTCCATTCCATCTTTGATGGTCTTATTATATCATGAGTATATAGAGTTTATAATGAGAGAAAATGCAAGTGCGAGAATAAACCTTTCTTCCATAGTTCACTCCTGTTATAGTATACAAAAGAGCAAATTTATTTTTCTCTGAGATGTGACATGTCCCTTCAGAATGTTGGCAGTCATGGCTCTCCACAATTTCCTCTCCTTTGTATCTCTTATTAAGTTTTGTCTTTTCATTATCTCACCATTAAGTATTATCTCATCTTTAGGTAGCTGATGTGCTGTTTTCCACTGAGCATGTCTTGTGAGTGATTTATTTATTTGTTTTAAGAATTTATGAAACAAACAAAAATTGTATTCTTATTCTTCTACATATCATTTCCCTTCAGTACATAAGCAATCATGGCTCTCCACAATTTTCTTTGTACCTCCAAATAAAGTTTGTCTTTTTGCTATCTCTCCAAATACCTTTTCTGCCATCCACTTACACAAACTTATTAGGTGCATTACATATCATTTTCCTCTATCCCTATTGCCTCTAATATGCCATGACAAATTTTCCAAGCCCTCTTTCCTCATTATGTACACTATAATGTATAATATAAATTGGCTAGATGTAACCATAAGTTCTATTCTAATATTTTATTTTCTCACACTTTTCACCTGTGGAACTCTCTTCTGTTTTTTGGGTTTTTTTTTTTTGCTTCTCTCTACCTACAATCTTCAAAAAATTAAATGTAGCCTCAGCTACCATTTTTTTTTTTTTTTTTTTTTAAGCATTACGCCCCGAGCAAGGCGTAAAGCCACTTGGATGTGGGGGATTGCAGAAGATTTGGAGCAAGAGCAGATAGGAGAGATAGAAGAAAGGGTGAGGAGAAGGATAGTGGGTAGATCAAGGTAACTGGAGATGTCGATTGACATTACATTTGAATAGTTGGAGATTATAGCTCTCAGGGAAACAGTAATTGGGAAGGGTGTTCCACAGGTGGGAGGTGCAAGGTATGAATCTATTGGAGTAGAATCCTGTTCTTCTGTTGTCATTTCTCCTCATTAGGCTTCTCATTCTCTTTCACCCTCACTAACCTCTTGCATCTTAGTGGCATTATATCCTACCTTGGAGTGAAGGATTAAAAATAAAAATAATAATTTTTAGGAAAAGAAGGGAGTGAGAGGAAAATGGCATAACTAATTTTTAAATTTTGACCATCTTTCTGTCAGCCAAGAATGAGTACCTCACTAGTTATTATAAATAGAAAAGAAATAATGAAAATGCAACAATAACATTATCAGCGGTTTTAAAATAAAACCGCAAATGCAAGAAAAAAATTCATGAAGTCAGTATTATCACAATCATTGAAACTTGCATATATTCAAGCATCTGTCTCATCAGGCATCTTCATCTTGAAGATATCACATTTGACTTGAATAAAATGTTAATTAGAAAAACAAACAAACTTGTAAGCGCTTAGAAAAAAAGAATTTATAGTCTGCCTTTTATTTTAAATTCTTGCTCAAGAGATTTATTCTCTAGTTAACAAATAGGAGTTAACTTGTGACTACAAGAGTACACAGTAATGAACCTATGTACTATTCATAATGTGTATTTGATGTCCACTTTAACATTCTTTTATACATTCAGTAGATTTATAAAATGTTGGACATCTATATGAGTCACTTAGTATGTTCTTAGTACTGAGATGCATTACCATTCAGCTTGTTGCTTCAACATGGGAAGGATGATGAGATCAGAAATAAAATCAATTAAATATTTCCCAAAAAAGAACATTTTAGAACAAGCTATGACTTGGACACAATCGGAAAGGTTTAATTTTAGCATTGGTCAAATGAAGAGTATATTCAAAAAATTTAGCCAAACTTGACATTCAATAAATTCTACTTCTTATTATATGGAAAATTAATAGTGACACAAAATATTAATATAAATATATTAACATACAATTTCAAAAGAATTAATGGATTTATTTTTAATCCAATATTTTTATTACTTTAAATATAATTATAGTGGATACTCATATTTTAAATAGATGCCTCATTTTTTATTTAAGACAAAAATAAAAATACGGCATCTATTTCAAATACGAGTATGCACCATAATAACATTTGAAGTAATAATATGCATAATATATATAATATTCATAATCTTACAGCAATTGTAACACTGGTTCTCATCCAACCACCAAAGTTAAGCAATGTTGATCCTGGTCTGTACCTAGATGGGTGACCACTATGGAATAACGGGTACTGTAAACTTGGATATTCGGTGTATGTCTGTGTGTGGGGGGCAGGTAATGGATAACAGCTTAGCATGAAAAATCCAAAAGACAAGTTCAAATTTCAGTTGAATTTGTTACATTAAACTTACACACAAATACCCTTGGGAAAGAATTCATCCCTTTTCCCTGCAGCTATATATTAAGTAGTATGACAGACTTGGTCCTCTAGCCTTGGAGGAATATATATATATATATATATATATATAGAGAGAGAGAGAGAGAGAGAGAGAGAGACAAAGATTGAAGATTTAACTAATTACACATAATAATTCATTGAGTCTAGAATAAGAAATCTTAACAGAATGCAGGAAACCAGACTGTTACAATACAATGCAAGTGTCATATCACTGGGCCAGCAGGCTTTGATGACAAAGAGGAAACTAACTAGACTTAATATAGTGCAAATACTCCTAATTTCGGTGGTGATACTCATCCAAGCATACATAACCCACTGGAACTGGCCCGAAGAGTAACGTCTTGTTACTCCAAGCTGCTCATCCAGAGCTTAGATCAAGCATAAGCTTATATAGACAAAAATTGGAGATTTACTTAATTTATAATAATTCATTGAGTCTAGAATAAGAAAACTCAAAAGAATGCAGTATTCACTGGACGGCTCTTTTGTCCTTTTTTAGAACTCATCATCAGTGCGCATCCACTACTGAGAATTGAACCTGGACCATTATGATACAACGCAAACGTCATACCACTGGGCCAGCAGGCCTCAGTCATGAAGAGGAAACTAACTAGACTTAATATAATGCAGCTGCTCATAATTCCAGTGGTGATATTCATCCAAGCATACATAACCCAGTGAAACTAGCTTCAAGAGCAACATCTATATACCAGGGGTAACAGCAAAATTGTCCAAAACATGTAATAGCATGGGATAATTACCTATACCACAAAATGTTTAATATCTAAAACCCCACTAAACTAATTGAGTTTCTTTTTTCCAGGTTTTCAGATAAGACATTTAACCATTTTAACACTATTTGTCACAAGAATCAGTGAAAAACCCTTTGAGTTATTCAGCTAGAAAGAGAACAGGTTAAAATCATTTTGTGTCAGCCCTACTATATCTTCCCAACTGAGCAATGGTGAGAGGAAAAAGATCACTCAGGCCTTCAGTAATGGTACAAACATTCATACTCTGGCTTCCATCTTCAAAGTCCACTCAAGAACCATCAAGAGAACGGTGAATGAGTTTAAAAAAGAGGGAACAGTAGAGAGGAAAAACTGGATCAGGAGGTCACAACAGTAAGAGGGATCATCATTTCAACTTAGAGCTAAATACATTCTTTCATTTGTTCAAAGTAGAGTCCAATAGTGTTATAAAAAATCAGAGAACTCCAGTAAAATATCTTTAATCATCTCTAAGATACAACAGTTCACATCTTAAACTAACAATTGGACAATTTTGCTGTTATACCTGGTATATATATATAAGATGAAATATTCCCTTTTTAACATTTTATAAAATAATAAAAAGGGAATATTTTACCTTTTATGTGATATTCAATAAAAAAATATTTATATTATTCACATTCAGACTAACATCTTTATTTTTTATCTTATTTTCTTTTATTATCATAACATTTCAGCTGTTGCATCTTCTTGCCTTCTTCAGGTATCTGTTAAGTTTTAAGGCTCCAAGTTTTAGATTCAGGATTGTCCTACAGAAAAGTAACTGAGTGGATTGAAGTTTTGGTTCATGAATTTGGTAATGTAGTAATAGTGAGTTCAATCCCTGGACCAGGCATAATAGACTTAGACTCAATGGAAACAAAGTGTGCAGTAAGTGAGCAGTAGTAAATAAGAACAAAATATAGTGAGTAGAATGAGAATAATCTACCTCTGTAGATTAAATAAAGGTTTTTTTTTTTAATCCCTTGAAGATTACCTGGATTGACAGACCTAAAGAAAGCTGGAGGGTGCAACAGGTGTAGCATTGTGATAAGAAGGATAAAGGTGAGGACATTAGTCCTTTAAATTCACACAGAAGAGATAATAATAAATAGACATTTCCAATGACATCGTCAGTGTGTAATTCCTTCTTTTGGCTTCTCTCAGGTGCTTGTCTACTCTACCATTCTATAATTGGAAATGCAGCTTTTGAACTACTAATGTATAAAGTTTTCTAAAAGTAATTTTTAGTATTAAAAAAACAGAGAAGTTCAAGAGAAATGCTGAAAAATAAATATTATTTCCAAATGTGAATCAGTAAATCCACCAGAGTAAATTATTTCTCAATTCTATGACCATAATGTTCGACCAATGGTAAAACATTCTTTAAAGTAAGTTCCATATATAAATGTCCACAGACATTGATTTAACAGCAAATTTGAACCTTTGGTCTCACAAAAAATGGAGTAAGTCAAAAGGACAGTAATGTTTATTGTTTTAAAAAGCAATGATTAGAATTGTAATAAAGTTTAAACATATCATGAAAGTAAATTTATACATTTTTTTGTTCTTGCGAATTTACAACAAAATAATAAACACTATTTATTTATTAGATTATTTATTTCCACTGTTTATTTATTATATTTTTTATTGGAATGGTTGGCAAAATATTTATTATATTATTTATTAAAATGGTTGGCAAAAAACTGGCTAATTGCCAACTGTTTTGAACTTTATAAAATGGTAAATAATAATGATTTCCTTATAGTTGATTCACATATTTTAATAATTTACTAAATGTTTGTAAATTTATGAATAAAAAATTGTTTACATATTTATTTCTTTATAAATTGTTAAATGATAAATATTGCATTGCCTCTGATCAGGAGATTGGAAGTTTTGGGAAGTGTGGAAACACCTCTTAAGTGCTGTTGTTCCCAGGTCCAATATGAATCAGGGTGGTAGCACCTGTTAGGGTCCCAGCTATGGGCAAATAGTGAACTCAAAAACAAAAATCAAAACATTGTGAAAGTATAAAAATACATTTTTATAGTAAAAATACCAGCTATACATGGCCCAGTGGGTAAAAGTATTGGTTGAATCCAGTGATTTGACCTAAAGAGTTGTGAGTTCAATCCCTGTCTACCACTGCGGTAAGCAAAAACTTGGAGAGTTAAGTTAAAGAGAGATAACTGATACTGAGACATCCGGAAGAGGCATGGCACGTGGAACTAGAACAATCCACTCTGATGGATGAAATAAAGGGTTCAGTTTGAAATTCCAATCACCTGAAGAAAGCCAGAGCATACAACAGCCAAAAAGGCAACAAAAATGAGGACCCCAGTCTGAACAATGTAAATAGTGTAAATAATTATAATACCTCATCTCAGAAATATAGACAAATATCATCTACCATGTATTCAATTGTGAAAGCAGAATGACATATATCATATTTTTATTACTTCAAAGCTCCCAAGAAAATTGAATTTTTGATATTAAATGATCCATAAGGAGTTAATATGCTGTTAAACAAAGAAATCAAACAATCAATATTTCATTGCATTAGTTTTTAGAATGTTGTAAATATAAACTTATTCTTGTAAATAAACAAGCAAGGCAGTAAAGCCACTAAGATGCAAGGGGTGACTGTGTGTGAGAAAATATGAGAAAAAGGAAAACATTTAGGAGTAAGAACAATAAAAAAACAGGAATTAAGAAGGTAACGATCAGAATTGAATTTGAATTTTTGAAAATCAAAGTTGACTGGAAAGCAAGAAACCAGAAGAGAGATCTGGAGAGAAGGCACATCCTTGTCTTATGCCCCTTTATATTTTTGCGTAGCTACTCAATTCATTCTCTATTCATGTGCAGGTGGTTTGCTTTCCAATAGAAGTTCTGGATTATTCTAACATCCTTTCAAAATAGATATAGATTTCCAGATGTTGTTTCAAATTTCATATTTTCCAACATCTTTTTTTCTAGAGGGGAGTCGGTTGGTTCCCCCCTCCTCCATACACACACACACACACACACACTGGGTGAGGCAATTTTGGTCTAGAGTATTGCGATGAATTAGTATTATGAAGTAGCATACAAAATTAATTGTGCCATTTTAACCTTTCATTCCACTTGTGACATGTTTACTTAAATAACATCAAACACTGCTCAGCCGTCTACAATAACACGGACAAAAACCCATCGGGCATTGTCCAGACTACTTCCACACAACCAGCCAGGTTTAAAGGAACAAATCCTCTCCCAAGGGCCACTACCCACACGCGCGATGTGGGGAAGGAGATGTAGAATAACAATACAATAAACAACACTTACCGGCATAAGAGTCCCAGCTAGCGTCCAGCTGGCAGACAAAAATAAAGCAGGTTGTAACTTAATACAAACCCTGCAAACTAACTGAGAAATCAAGCTGGTATTTATATAGAAATACTTCCATTCAGGTACCAGCAGCCAATCACAGCCCAAGCAATGGACTATCCCACTTTAACATAATGAGATGCTCCATTGCACCATAAATAACTCTTTCTCAATGTTGAATTAGTATTCACTCAGCTTGCTCCACAACTGAGTGTTTATCTTGACCACGTGATTGTTCGACATTAACTTTAGGGTTAAGCAAAAATGTCATTAGAAACAAAGAAAAGAGTACTGATCTGTGATGTAATATCAGTCTTCCAAAATGGCAATGAATACTGGATAATCTCCTCAAAGATGAAGAAGAGATTGAAGCAGCAGAAATGTGGTTCTACAAAAGGATGCTGAGAATACCATGGACCAAACATGTGAGCAACAATGACGTTTAAGAGAAAATGGAAACAAAAAGGATATTTATACTTAACATCAGAAAGAAAAGGTTGAAATTTCTAGTGCGCATAATGAGGTAAGAGGGCTTGGAAAATTTGGTACTCAGAGGAGAGACGGACAGCAAGTGGGACAGAGGAAAACAACACATATTGAGTAAATGGATTGTGGAGCAAGATTTAGGAGAGATAACAAAAAGTTGCATTTGTTGTTGTTGTTTATTTGCAATCAGAACAAAACAAACTGAATGAC